CCACACACACACTCTCTCTCTCTCTCTCTCTCTCTCTCTCTCTCTCACACACAGTGTCTCTCTCTCTCTCTCTCTCTCTCTCTCACACCCACCCACTCACCCACACCCCCAGGGCTCCCTGCATCCAGGTCACTTTCCCCACCTGGGCTGTGCTGTGAGGTGAGCATCAGCAGGTGCTGCTCTTCTGCCTTCTCCTTTCACAGCCCAGGTAGGCAAAGTGACCTGGATGCAGGAAGCCCTGACGTTGCTCCTTGCTTCCCTGCACAGTTCCCTAGGGGTGCGCGGGGCAGGGAGCAGCAGTCCAGTGCGGGAGCGAGCAGCAATGCCAGCTGCTCCGCCTGTGCATCCAGGTCAGTTTCCCCACATGGGTGCAGGAAGGAGATGCAGGGGTTATGGCTGAAGGGGGCACAGTGCAGAGGTTCGGGGTGCAGCAGAGGAGCAGAGGGGCTATGGGTGAAGGGGGAACAGTGCAGGGGTTAGGGGCGCAGGAGGGGAGTGAAGGGGGCACAGTGCAGGGGTTTGGGGAGCAGCAGGGGAGCAGAGAAGTTATGGCTGAAGGGAGCACAGTGCAGGGGTTAGGGGCGCAGGAGGGGAGTGAATGGGGCACAGTGCAGGGGTTTGGGGTGCAGCAGGGGAGTGGAGAGTCTATGGGTGAAGGGGGCACAGTGCAGGGGTTCAGGGCGCAGGAGGGGAGTGGAGGAGTTATGAGTGAAGGGAGCACAGGGCAGGGGTTAGAAGTGCAGGAATGGGGCAGGGTTTGGAGCTCAGAATGGCAGCAGGGCCATCTGTACATTACCTTGATATTGCGCATAACAAAATTCATCCCGTGCATGGATGGAAAAAATTAGGGAACACTGAGCAATTGCAATAACTTCTTTATTCTGTGGCCCACATTTTACAGCTATTGGGCCATATACACCACTGACAAAAGGGGGCACAGATCTACTGATTTCAATGGCACTGTGCCCACTTACTCCTGCAGTGAAGTGCCCTCAGTAGAAGGGATTATTATGAATGTATACATTTGTATGTGTACTGACAGACAATTGTACTGTGTTTACTGTACCTGTATCTTGGGTGAATTATTGCATAGATGATAGGATTGTAGATTGCAGAAGCTTTGGCGATAACAGCTGGCACAGATTTAGAATATGGAGTTAGAGTGTTGCCATGGCTAAAATTAAACAAAAACAAAACACAAAGGTATTTAATGGATGTGTGTTAACTAAATTACCAAAACATACTACTCTTTCTTGATTGACTATGTGCTGTGATCGTCTGACAACAAATAGCTTTGAAAAGTTAATTTGTTTCAGTGCATTCCTTGGTGAGACTAAGACCACCATGATTTGGTGCCATACTGGTTACATTTACTTGGAGAAGCTGAATGGCCATCAACCAACGACTTTTTTGTTTTTAAGAATGACAAGCACCCAGAACACACACAATAACTTATTTCTCTGTTGTTCTGCTAGTCAGAAGCAGGAGGAGAGATTATTAATGTGGAGAACAAGATAGATATGGAATGGTAATAACAAAAAACGATTCAGAATGAAAATCTCATATTGTCACCCCATAGTATCAATTTCATTCAACACACCAAAGGGCATCAAGGAGACTGAAATTCCAGTGTCCAAAAAGAAAGGGAGGAGCGTGAAAAAGGGGAAGTGGGCTGAGATCAGCGTTAGCTGTTTTTGCCTCAAACTCTCCCAGCTGTTAAGAGGAGTCTAATTTCCATTGATCATGTAACTCCTACTAATATCAGTGAAGTTGAATGTGCATCAACAGGGGAAGAGGTCTCCCTACAGGGGGAGCTGGGAAGGGGAGGAGGACATGAGCTCTGAATTTAAAAAGGTGTGGAAAAAAGCCTCTTGACTCTCTCTCTCTACTAGTCACCTAGTCACTGTCTTGAGGAGGGGGATTCTTGAGAGATCAGATATGAGGAGAGTGATCATCTGCTGAGATGCCTAGGATTACTCTGCATAAAATCAAAATACACACACACAAAAAGCAGCATGAAGGAAGTGAAAACAAAAATCTGTGCTCAGGAAAAAAAAAGCACACAAAGTTTCATGTAAGAAATGAAATAGACACTAGCTAATCTTGTTCTCTTTTATCCAAAGGGCTATCCTGAGTAATGATATCTCACCTCTAATCTGGTGTCTATTTTAACTCATTTTAAAAGGAAGATTAACTCCTTATGGGTGACAACACTGATTATAGTTAAATCTCATTTACAGTCCAAGGAGGAGTCAGATTTATATGAAATATCTCAGGGCAGCTTCAGGCTAGATCACTTTCTCCTCATTACTAACTTATCTTGACTAAGGGCCACCAGATTTCTACTTACCCTGCCCATGCAATCATGGTGACACAAGCATATGGAGACCAAGACAAGACAAACACAACGATGACCACAAAAGCAATTTTTGCCAGCTTCCATTCATTCTTCATGGAATGCGAGAGGTAGGATTTACGACCATAGGACCCTAGCTTCTGAACATCCCTGTGAGAAGAAGAACAAGGGAAGTCACCCAGTGTAAGAAAATGTTTGGTACAAGACGCACAATGTATTATTAGCAATAACTAAAATGGAGCACACACTTTATCTTTCTCTGCCCAAATATACTCAGTTATTTAATATCTTAAGGATAAAGATCTTACTCTGCTACACCCTGCAAAGGGGAGTAAACATGCAAAATGGCCTCAAAACAGCCAAGAGGAGTAAGCAGGAAGAAAGACATTGCCTCTGTGACATGCTCACTCTTCGTCCTCAAGAATAGCCCAGATGGGGCTCTGCAGTTCTGAGGGATGGGGCTAACACAGCTGGGGAGTAGCATGGTCCTTTTGGAACCAGACAGATCTCCAGTAGCGAATGAGCAGGAAATCCCACTCCTTGCCCTCTGCGACATTGCCAGAGGCACAAGGGGGTTACTCAATGATAGTTCATTTCCTTGAGGAGCCATGCTGCCAGGGTTGGGTGGGTGGCCAGACAGCAGAGCTGTCATCAGGGCTGATCTCATCTCTGAGGATTCCATGTATTATGCATGGATTCACTCCTCACAAGGGCAGCGCTCCTTGCTGCCTACACACTTCCACTGACTCCTCCCTGTCTCTTGAGGAGATGATGTCAAATGAACTCCACAGATTCCAACTCACTGAGCCAGGTATATTGGTATTGTATGCTGGCTACTTTGCAAAGCAAGAGCACTGGTGAACCTGGCACATAATGTTTAAGGGGGCTATTTTACATTCCTGCAGGTTTATCCATCAGACAGTGGTATTTGAGCCAATGAGAGATGACATTCTTTTTACTTAGAGATAATTTTTGGAGATCGTGGTTTAGCTGCAGATATTCTGAAGGAATCATTAATACAAGCCTGGAGAAATTCTCACAGCTATTGTGTGGGGATTCTTCAGATACCATCATCACTTTTTTATGCCAGCAAAATCAACTAATATCCTGCAATTTATAGTAAACTGGTCTGACAGGATTTAGCATAAAAATAAACAAATTTTAGTGAAGATTTACTTAAAAAGGAAGGCCACTATGCAAATCAGCACTGCGATGAGCTGCTTCTATAAAATGATAATACACAAATAGATGCACTATGGAAGAAGCCTGCAGAAGACAATGTTAGCCAGTAGAATACATATTCAATTCTTGCAGCAGCTGTGCTGAATGCTCATATGCAGTGATATTGCTTTAAGGACTAAGTTACCATTCCTTGTTATCAAATTTGCAATTGCAGAGAGCATTCACAACCCCCCATTCAGAAAAGCACATAAGCAAGTGCTTAACCGTAAGCACCTATGCAAGTCCATCCCTATTCAGCAAAGCTTCTTAACCATGTACTCAAGTCTCACTGTAGTTGATGGGGGTTAAACATGTGTTTAAAGTTAGGCATGTGATTAGTTACTTTGCTGAAACAAGACAACAAGGCTTGATCCCATTCAGGTCAGTGGAAAGATTCTGACTGACTTCAACTGGATTAGGATTAGGCCCCGAATGAGTAATATGTACAAATTGAGAGGCAAAACAATAGAGAGAGTTCCCTTTTTGATCTCTGATCAGGCCAAATTTTTAGTTCAAATATTACAAGAAGAGGCTGAGTCATGTGCAAAACAATTTGTACCTGTCTGTATATTTGCATGAAATTTGGTCAAATGCATGCACAACTAGATGTGTGTACACCATGGCCCATCTCATCTCCCCGAGTTCAGCTGTAAAAGCTATGATTTCTGGAATGTCTACAATAAATGAAACTCTTGAGGTATAAGGACTTAAGTCTGTGGAGTGCGCCAAAATCAGGTGATGGCCATTTTGCTGTATAACAGATTTATTCATTGTCATAACCTCCCGGGGGCTTAGATGATGAACCCAAACACTGAAGAAAATGAAAAATAGCTGAATATGAGAAAATAGCATTTCTGCTTCTGTTTATCTAACCCAACTGTCTATCTGGAGCATGTAAGCAGGGAGTTCTCTGTATTGTAATTCTGTAGGACATCAAAGGAGAATACAGATTCAGTGTAAGCAGCATCATTAATATATCTACTGCCCAGCTTGATTTTCAGCCAGGAGCTTTAAAGTATGCTTTACAGCAAGAAGACAAGAGATTTAACTACTCTTGCTACCCTGCTTACCTGCCAGTACTTCTTATGGCCAGAAACATGAATAAATAGCAATGGAATATTATAACCAGGGGAATGAAAAACACACAGCAACATAACATCATGGTGTAACTTCTGTTTGCTGGGGAATAGGTTACATAGTCCCATGTACAAGATATCATCAACCCTTCTGGCACATAGGAACCTAAGAAACATGAAAAGTAAATATATATATACATATATACACACACATCATTTGTACAATTACTGGTCAAGGTTTAAGAACTGGACAGTTAACAAGCAAATGGTAATACTATACATGTGACCCTCACTGGCCATCCTGTACAGCATAATTACTTAGCTGCTGTATTGTACAAGCCAGTTCCAGAATACGGAGAGCACAGATACAAAGTTGGCATGCATCTTGTCTCCCACCTAGTCTGAACTCATTAAAAAAATTGCATCATGCACAGACAATAAGAAAACTGCTAGAAATCTTTGAGGGGGGTCAACAAGCATATAGACAAAGGGGATCCAGTGGATATACTGTACTTAGATTTTCAGAAAGCCTTTGACAAGGTCCTTCACCAAAGGTTCTTAAGCAAATTAAGCTGTCATGGGATAAGAGGGAAGGTCCTCTCGTGGACTGGTAACTGGTTAAAAGATAGGAAACAAAGGATAGGAATAAATGGTCAGTTTTCAGAATGGAGAGAGGTAAAGATTGGTATCCACAGGGGACCAGTCCTATTCAACATATTCATAAATGATCTGGAAAAAGGGGTAAATAGTGAGGTGGCAAAATTTGCAGATGATACAAAACTACTCAAGATAGTTAAGTCCCAGGCAGACTGCAAAGAGCTAAAAAAGGATCTCACAAAACTGGGTGACTGGGCATCAAAATGGCAGATGAAATTCAGTGTTGATAAATGCAAAGTAATGCATACTGGAAAACATAATCCCCAACTGTACGTATAAAATAATGGGATCTAAATTAGCTGTTACCACTCAAGAAAGATCTTGGAGTCATTGTGGATAGTTCTCTGAAAACATCCACTCAATGTGTAGCAGCAGTCAAAAAAATGAACAGAATGTTGGGAAGTATTAAGAAACGGATAGATAATAAGACAGAAAATATCATAATGCCTCTATATAAATCCATGGTATGCCCACATCTTGAATACTGCGTGGAGATGTCATCGCCCCATCTCAAAAAAAGATATATTGGAAAAGGTTCAGAAAAAGGAAACAAAACTGATTAGGGATATGGAACGGCTTCCATATGAGGAGAGATTAATAAGATGGGGACTTTTCAGCTTGGAAAAGAGATGGCTAATGGGAGGGATATGATAGAGGTCTATAAAATCATGACTGGTGTGGAGAAAGTAAATAAGGAAGTGTCATTTACTTCTCATACCACAAAAACTAGGGGTAACCAAATTAAATTAATAGGCAGCAGGTTTAAAACAAACAAAAGGAAGTATTTCTTCACACAACTCACAGTCAACCTGTGGAGCTCTTTGCCAGAGGATGTTGTGAAGGCCAAGACTGTAACAGGGTTCAAAAAAGAACTAGATAAATTCATGGAGGATAGGTCCATCAATGGCTATTAGCAAGGATGGGCAGAGATGGTGTCCCTAGCCTCTGTTTGCCAGAAACTGGGAATGAGAGACAGGGAATGGATCACTTGATTACATGTTCACTCCCTCTGAGGAACCTGTCATTAGCCACTGCTGGAAGATAGGATACTGGGCTAGATGGACCTTTGGTCTGACCCAGTATGGCCGTTCTTATGTTCTTAACTGTCAGTCTTCCATGAGCAACTTTTTAAAGTACTCCAAGTGGTACATGATGGCATTTTGAATACTGTCTAGGGGAGAGAATCTATCCAACTGCTCCCTCCACCTCTCAATTACTTGCAAGAAGGTCATTTTCAGCAGACACGTTTAAGAATCTTTAATAACAGCAGATGTGTTTTAAAGGCTGAAACCACTGTAATTGAGGGTCTTTTGAGATTACTTTGGAGACGGTCTCTCATTTAAAGGGATTCATAATGTTACCTGTGCAAATTTGATACAGACTAAATCTTTGCAAAGTCTCATCCTAGAAGCTACTTCCCCTACCCCTACTTTATAAATTGATATGTCCTAAAAAGATGTGGGTTGGATGTGGAGGGACAGCAGGAGATCCAGAGATTCTGCAAAGAGGTATTTGTGATGGATCTCAGCAACCATCCTCAGGGAAAGGCAGGGGGAAGGGGCTGTGTGTGGGATAGGTGTGTGGTGGTTAAAACTGGACTCATTTTACACAAGACCGATGTCAAAACTAGTCCCAATAAAATGTTCAAAACCCCTCCGAAGCATTTCTAAAACCGCTTTCTTGCAGCATCTGCATATAAAATGCCTGATGGTGTGGTGCACTAGAAGGCTTTTACTGGCACTAATTTAGGATTTTGCGCAACCTAAATTGCTCAGTGTGTGCGCTCCACTCCTGCTCCCCGCATCTGAAACATGTCTATGCTGAGAGTGAAGCAGGAGAGAATAGCACAAAGCTTGCTACAGCAGCGTTCTGCCGGCTGAGGATTTCCTTGTGCTGGGGGAATCCTCTGAAGCTGGCATGAAATGGCTGCAATTGTACTTTGCACCAGTGAAATGGTAAATATCTGCACCAGGATATTGCATTAATTCTGGGTTTATGTATGTGTGTATTAGAGCAGGAGGAGCAGTGACTGCTGTAGTTAAGACTGCATAAGCATTTCCTAACCATTCCCTTCCAGTCACTCAGAACTTTCACCTTAGTTCAGTGGAAGGCCTGAGCTCTGCATAGGCAGACTCTTACACCCACATGGAGTTCTGCTGAGGTCTATGGGACTCTGTACAGGTGCAGGCACGTGCCCATACAGATTCCCTGGCACAGTCAGGGGCTTAGGCCCTGATCTTGCAAGCTGACTAGTGGAGTCAGAACCTTATGCTCCAGCTTAGCCTCACTAAGGGTATGTCTATACTGCAAGTGTATGTGTGCTTGTAGTATGGTCACACTTGTGTGCTATCTTTAATCTAGCTGGTGCAGGTAACAGATGTGGCAGCATGAGGTTCAGCACAGGCTAGCAACCAAGGGAAGCTGGGTATGTACTCTAGTTGTTAGCTCCTTGCCACCATGTCACACTGCTCTTTTTACCTATGTTAGCTAGACTGACGCTAGTGTGTGCACCTGAGCTGCAATCACACCGACAACTGCTGTGAATACATACCCTGAACAGCAGGGGCGGCTCCAGGCACCAGCGCACCAAGCGTTTGCCTGGGGCGGCAAGCTGTGGGGGGCAGCCTGCCGGTCGCTCTGATGGCGGCAGTCAGGGTGCCTTCGCCAGTATGCCTGTGGGAGGTCCGCCGGTCCCGCGGTTTCGGCGGCAATTCGGCAGCGGGTACGCCAAAGGAGCGGGACCAGCGGACCTCCCACAGGCATGCCGCCGAATCTGCGTTACCAGCGGACCTCCCGCAGGCGCGCTGCCAAAAGCCGACTGACTTCCGTGCTTGGGGCGACAAAATACATAGAGCCGCCCCTGCTGAACAGGGTAACGTGCAGGCTCATGGATCAGCCTGTAGGATTGGGCCTTAGATTTTAAACACTTTAGGATACAGCCTAAGCAGGGACCGCTCTGTCTTATTGAGTGTGACACACACTGTCATTGCTTGACAAATAAGAAACAATCCTAACGGGCTATGCAGTAAAACCCACTGCTCCACCTAACTCCTTTTCTTGATCATGAGCTGTAAATATAAGACACATAGTGCTGAATATCAAAAGCAGAACTGTGGTGATTAGAGAGCGAGTGCAAGCTTTGGAATGGATATAAGCAGAGATGCTAATTAGAAGAAAAAAATCAATGAAGGCAAAGGAAAATAGCTTGAAGATGCTCAATATAATTTTTCTTCACTGCATGTTAAATGAGATTTCTTCATTGTCTGACCCTTTTAGCATCAGAAAATCCTCTACACTCGATGAAAGTAATTCAATTAGCATTTGCATGCTGGCTAACTTACTATGCTAACAGAATTTAGAGTATTCTCACCATCAGGGTAAAACTGTACTGTTTTTGCTTTCCAGAGACAAGACAAGGGAAACTCAACATATTAATTAAGTCTTTTTTTTTTTTTTGTTCTCACTGCCTGGCTTTCACTACCAACAACAAAAAAGAAAAATATCACTCATTACCCACTTCTATTTCTTCACTCAGGAAAGCTGAACAACAGTGGATGATGTCAGCTGCACTCTTTTAAAAAGTTTTTAGAGAAAGCATATCAGTGTATTCCTCCCTGTGCAGGGAGCAATGATATATTGATATAATGCACTTCTAACAAAGGCACAGTCACTGCTGTGAAGGAAGTGTGAGACGCCTGTAATATTTTATGAATATTAAGTGTGTGTTTGATTTTTATTGTATTGTATGCTATAGGATTTCAAGGAGGTAATTCAGGCATCAGCTCACGTGCATGTAAACAGGAAAGTGGTCAAACACTTCTGACAGACACCCATTTACCAATATATATCTTAAAAGGCCATGCAGAGAACCAATTGCTTTGAAGTCTATCCTTGTCTCCTGTTGTCAGATGTCATCGGTGTGGTGCTCTGCTCTGCTCAATGTTGATAAGTCGTCTGCGTGCGTGTGTTCCCTCTGTGTGCTGCCTGACAACAACTCCCACCTAGTGGGCACATAAACCAGTTTAAACAGGGTCAAGAGACACAGGGAGACAAGGGGCAAGTCTACACTACAAAATGAAGTCTACCTAAATTACGTTGACATACAGCCACTGCAGTAATTGAATCAGTTTTACACATTCACACTATGTCCTTGTGTCCGCGGTGCACATCCTCACCAGGAATGTTTGCACCGATTTAACTACCAGGGTGGAGCATTGGGGATGGTTTCTGAAAGGCAATCACAGTCGACATAAGCAATGCAGCATCTATACTGATACTGCGGCAACCTAACTGTGGGTATGGCTACACTTGCAGCTGTACAGCGCTGAGAGTTAAACCCGCCTTTGTACAGCTGAGTAGGGAAAGCACTGCAGTCTGTCCACACTGACAGCTGACAGCACACTGGCGTGGCCACATTTGCAGCTGCATTGGGAGCGGTGCATTATGGGCAGCTATCCCAGCATTCATGTGGCTGCAACGTGCTTTTCAAAAGGGGTGGGGTGGGGTGGA